AAACCTCTAACAAACCAAACAAACAAACGTTTTAGTTTGAGTAAGAGTTTTTTAAAGTTTTAGTAGAAGTTTTACGGCGCATAGGTCATATGAGCGCCAGAAGATTAGAGGTGTTACAAGAGAGTAACAAACATAAAAAAAGAAGAAGGGGAGATAAGGACGATAGATGTTTGATAGGAAAGAAGAAGCAAACCACACCAGAGCACCTGCCTGCCACCCACTGAGTAAGAGAGTTGCGGACTTGTAGCACGAATAATTAATATAAGTGCGGAAGATTAAAAGTGTTACGAGAGAATAACATACACAGAAAAGAAGGAGGAGAGGCAATGACGATCGATGGTTGATAGGAAAGAAGGAGCAAACTGCGCCAGAGCACCTGCGAACATCACACACGAACATTAAACTGTTTATTTTTCCCTTATAAAGAAACGTCTGCTGTTTTACAAACGGTGTGGACCAATATGGCAAGATCTACAGATGGCATGAAAGAGACCATATACAAAATTAAAAAGGGGGAGAAAATGAGTTAATTGAAGATAATATTATACACACGAGTGGTTGGTAAATTTTACTGGGATTCGGAATTTATGGCCCTTTGGGAGGAAGCGCAGCAAAAATTACTATTTATTTTTTAGTTTATCATTATAAACACTTCAAAAAGAGACAATTGATTTCAATTTTCTGGCAACATAAGTGGAACAATAGTATATAAATTTGCATAGCGCGTAATATACTCGCTCAACATCACGATCTGTGCGCTTTACAATCTACATGTCGTATTTTATTGCCCGAGCAGGCCCCAGAAGAACCAGAAGCATTCTCGCCTTTCACAGGATGCATACAGTGCAAGCAGGTTAAGTGTATAAACATTAATTAACTGACAAGATTCTTCGCTGTCTATAGCTGTGTACCCGTTCCCACCGGGGTGAAGGAAGAAGCATTTGTGTAAAATGCCGTTCCCCGAGGACACAGCGTCGGATCCCTGACCACGTTAGAACCCACGACTATTCGGTTTGCGAGCCCCATAGCCTAACCATTATATCACCGATGCTACAATATAATTATATATATTTTAAATATATCTTCAAACATTTATTATTATTTTTTTTGTTTCTTTCCTTTTTTGTGGTATATTCAGTTTGATGCCATAATTATTTTAAAATGTCGGCACGCCCAATGCGCAAGAGTAGAAATTTTAAACTGTACGGAAAGTTTTGACGAGACGCAGTTATCAGTGTCATCTTTGCCATCTTTGTGTATGACTTTAGGCTCTAGTGTCTCTTGATAGGCTAAATGCCTAGAGTATTAGCCCACATGTGGGTGTATACCCAAACTACAAATGCAGATCTTTCACATTGGGTGATAAGCACAAACTACATGTCCAAATGTGGGCAACATTCACTGACTACCAACTCAGATGTGGGCAACATTCACTAACTACCAACTCAGATGTGGGCAACATTCACAAACTACCAACCCAGATGTGGGTGATTCATGTTCCTTGATAAACACAGACAACAAGCAAACATGTTGGTCACTCATGGTGTAAGGTCAGGCTACCAGCCAACATGTGAGCGACTCACGATGGCAGTTCGCAATACCAGCCTACATTTGAGTAACTCAAGGTGGAAGTTCAAACTGGTAGCCCACAAGTGGGTGACTCAAGTGGGAGGTAAGCACAGACAACTAGCCCACGTCAGTGGGTGGTTGGCGGGTGCTCTGGTGTGGTTTGCTTCAACTTTCCTATCAAGCATCTATCGTCTTTTTCTCCTCTCCTTTTTGTGTTTGTTACTCTCTTGTAGCACTTCTAATCTTCGTCACTTATATGACCGTATTATGTTGCAAGTGCCGTAAAACTCTTTAAAACTAACTAAGTCCACGTCACTCACGGTGGGTAATAAGCACAGACAACCAGCGTGCCCAGGTCCCAGGTGTAGTCACAGGTAGACACGGCACAGCCCACCTGTCTGGTGTCTCGCCACACTACCTGAGGGTGGTGGGGGTGGGGGTGGGGGAATGACGGTGGTGGGGTGGTGATGGTGGTGGTAGTGGTTGTGGTTGTGGTTGAAGTTGTGGTTGTGGTTGTGGCCGTGGTGATGGTG